AATACCCTTACTTGTTTATAATGTTGATCTCTATAGTTGTAAGACATTTTCGTTTATAAATAGCTTTTAAAGAAGAACTGCAGTCCCATTTTCTCAGACCGGTCATTAAATCTCGGTAACAAAATAAATTCATTAAGGTTATAGAAAAAAATTACAATTTTTAACTAAGCACAAAATGATTAATTTTGCGAAAGTACTGTAAGTCGCCATGTTGCCACAAACTCACATTCGAGTTACCATTAACTCTAACGTGATGCCGCCCTTCCCACTCACTAGTCCCTGTAAAGACTAATGTAATGTGGTATCCGAGCGAATAAGTAAAGGTTTTGCAGCAGACATTTCACTGCATAAACATTCCAATGTGATCTGCTTGCAGAGTTTACAAGTAAGTTGTATTTGTCGGAAAAGCCGTCTCGAAATCAAAAGCAAAATTTCTATTGGATTAAAAGAAATGTATTCACAAGCCTGCTTGTTTACAATGTAAGTAGGCCGCAACATATCACCAGGAGTTTTATTGCCTCGTTCTGAATATGATGCTGCACATACAGTACCTGCACGTTTTGTGTATTTTGTAATGTTAATTGGAGGTTTTACAAGTTACTGTGTACATTTTACTTTTATTGTGGTTTGAAATGCACTCATCAATGCCGATTCTTTCTAACTCCAAAATATAAAAATAACATTGCAGTTCTTTTAATGATTAAGGAGGGAAGGATTTTAGTTAACTATTGGGAATTAATAGGAAATCTATTTAAGCTTGCTATTGATTAAAATGACCAATTACCTAATAACCAGAAAATTAAGGGTTTGCATAAATATTAAAAACATTAAAAACAAAACAAATGCTATTGGTTCCAATACTCATGTGCTGCAATAATGCTAGGTACAGTATATTTATATTCATGAATGATTGATAGTTATAAAAACAATGAAGTGTTAGAGCTAAATGGTGCTCAATAACCAGTCTGACTTAATGTAGAGCACACCTTTTATTTCTACACAACAAACCCAAAATGATCTCCCAACAGAGTACCAGGGGCAATAACTTCATTTAAAACTGTCTAGGTGAAGAGAAAGGACTTGAGACCACCCTGACTGAAGAGCCAACTGGAGCCAACTGATTGAAGGCACATTGGGGACATCGGAACAACTTTATATTCACACAACCTATCACATAAAAAAAAAAATCAACACAAGGGTAAAAAATACATAGGCTTCTTCAAACTAATTATTTGCCCATTGCACCCAACAACCCTCAATTGATTGAAAATCTGACTTGTTAATGCTTTTTTCACAAATATACAATGAAAATGATATATTGAGATGATATATAATAGATTCCATTTTTTTCCATTAAAAAAACACATGAAACAGTAAATATGTAATGTCTTATTGGAGTAGGACGCAGGATGCAGGCTCACAAACACAATGTTCCTCTCACATGTCCACGTCTAATCAATTACACAATCAGGTGTCACTACTTATGTCTGAAACAAAATGAGACAACAAAAAAACAAACATATTTCACAAACACTAGTGATCAGAACACTACATACTGTAAATAGAGAACCAATAAATCTAAATACATTTAAAAAAGACATGGTTATGTATTTATAATTTGTTTATGCAGCGGTTAGTGCTTATGTAAAATGTATATCATATTTTGTGTGTTTGCTGCTAATTTTGTCTTTTTTCTTGCATTCATATGCCTTGTCTGTAGTGATGATATAGTGATTTATACTCAACATACCTGTATATGCATAAATGTATGATTTATGCTCAGTATATCTTACATTCAAATTAGAGATCAGGTACATTCTTGTTGATAAAAATAGAAAGTTCCAATAATATAAAAGTTACTAATTTCTAAAGAAATCTTTTGAGAAATTAAAATAAATAAGAAACAGGCAGTTATAAAGGCCCTTTACTGAGGAAATGCATGATATTTTTGGTCATTTTAAGCAGACTGGGAAGATTTTTAGGGAAGCACAAGTACTGTACAGATTCATATCAAATAGTTGTGGAAGAACATTTGGATCTATTGTCAGAAAGAAAATCTTTTTTTAACCATAAAATGGTTTTATTGAGGTAATTTCTGTTCTTGTATTATCTAGACCACTGAAGTGGAAACAAAACTCTGTAGGGAGTGAATCGTCTTTGAGAGGAAAACTAATAAAAAGGTGTAGAAATGACAGTAAAGAAAAAAAGTAAAAAAACTTGCAGACAAAGGGGAGATAAAGGTCTATGAACATAAGTACTAAAAGTAAAGTTGCCATGCAACTTTTTAATGTTTACAAAATTTTTCCTGACTGTTCTTTCCCAAATTCTACCTTTCAGAATCTAATTTCCTCTTCCCTCCTTTTTCCACAGCACTCTTTATATCACTAATCGCTTTTGGTGCTACCTCAGCCCTTATACGGTATATAATAAGATAACTTCATTAGCCATATACAATTTCTTGCTTTAGGAATTCATCGTTTAGCATACCCCAGCTTGCTCTCCATGTCACACACAGAGAGGGAGAGAAGCTTGGGGTCAGAGCGCAGGGTCAGCCATTGTACACCGCCCCTGGAGCAGTTGGGGTTAAGGGCCTAGCTCAGGGGCCCAACGGAGTAGGATTCCTCTGCTGGTCGCAGGATTTGAACCGGCAACCTTTCAGCCACGGGCGCAAATCCTTAGCCACAGTACCACCGCTCCGCCCAAATAGGAATATTCCAGTAGGAATCCTGGCATTCATCTTAATATTGTGTTTTTGTCCGACATTCCCTGGCTCAGTATGCTTCTAAGCAACTTTAAAATAATCTATTCTTTTCTCTCTACCTGTTCTGCTCATGTTTCAGTAAAGCCCCTCATTCTGACAGGCCTTTGTGATTTTGCCAACCTCTCTTCAGCTCAGCTTATTGAATAACATATTGCTTAAGGAGTTCTCTCTACTTTACCTCTCTCAGGCTAAACCTCTACTTCACACTCTTCACAGGCTTCCTAAAGCTGCTCATATAGAGATTTACCACTGTCACACCACTCTCTTCATCACTCTACCCCTTCCTACCTCCAATATTTAGTCTTTTCGTGTATCACCTCTCATAAGCCCTTTTAATTTGTTGTTTGTCAGTTAGTTATTAGAATTAGAATAGTGGTACTTCTGACATTTGGATTCTAGGACACTGTCAACATAGATTTCGATACTTAGATTGTTTCAAATGTTAGACGTTTTTGAACAAGTAACAGCAGCAATAGCAAATTTGATTTGTTATATGTAGATTGTCAGAAACTGTACGTAAAATTATATATTAACTCTTAATTTGCAAGCAGTAAACATTCAAGGAAATGCTTACGTGATTGAAATGTGAATTATTAATAGAAAACAGAAAATACAGATAAGGACTGTATATAATAAACAAGAATGGTGGTATAATTATTGGTATACAACAGGAATCTAACTGCTCCTCTCAATTCCTTTAGGTAACTAGACAATATCAAAATAAGAGGACAAGCAAACATTGTAAAAGATGTAAGTCACGAAACAGGTGGCAGATGGTATTTAAGACAAGTGCAAAGTGTTAAATGCAGGTATAGTAACCGTGGGAAACACTGCATTTGAAGAAACTGTGACAAAAACCTAAATGTCCGTGCTGGTACATTGTTGTTATCTTCTAATAGAATATTATTATATATAAAGTACAGAAGTAATAGAAGTTCTATACAATATGGGAAAACAACAACAAAGGCAAACAGAATGTTAGGATTCATATGTTTGAAGGCACCGACAAACTCAAACCAACAGACTCCTTCAGAACCAACAGAGAAACACAAACCAGAGGACAGTAGGATCTACAGGGAAGTGCATTTGCAACTGATACAGGAGAGGCTTTTTCATAATTGGTTGTGGGTGTCTAGAACAAGCTATCCAGACATTTTATTGAAGCTGACAATCCTGCTTCTTTCCAGTTATGCCTAGATGAGATTTTTGGACCAACTAACAACTAGCAAGTAAACAAGCTGGATGGGTCAAATGTCCTCTTTTCTATCATCCACCCAGCTAGAAATTCAGTTGCTTTCCTCCCTTAATGCAATAGTGTACCAGTTCTAAACAACATCTGTGATGCACAGTCTCCACTTTCTAGTCCCCCATCTTCAATGACTGCCGTAGATCATCTTATTTATTAAACCACTATATTGCTGCTCCACTTATATTTTTACAATTTACTGCACATGCATGCAGTATTATAAAGGCAAAAGCAAAATTAATATGTAATATTCTTGACATATATATGTAAAGCATTGATAGATGCTATGCACTGTAACAAAAGCAATGACAGAAAAGCATTACCAATCTGGTGATCCAAGACAAGTGAATACAAAACAAATTACAGTTCCCATGCAGTGCTATTATATTTTTACAAAAGGTTACCTCAGTAACTATTAGGTGAGGTAATTTAAAATTTTATGCTGCTCTAGTCATTTTAAATGAATGTGTTTGAAAATATCAAAATATTCTCATTACAATTGTAGACAGCAAGTAAACAGACAATACTTTCCTATGTATTCACTTACAAGCTATTTGTCTCTTTAGCTCTAACTATGAATGGAGTAATGGAGGGGACTGAATATTAGTTTGAGTTTTCTTTGGTGAATGTCTGCAGGAGATATGTATTGATTTTAGGGAAGTGTCTTTAAAAAGATTTTCATAGCCCACAAGCCATGATAAATGGACTTTCCTGAGCAAAAAAACAACATACGTCAAACAATTTCACATGGGGATAATGTGACCCCTGACCCATGAAAGCAGTCAGAGTTCAGGTTGTGTCCTCCCTCCTGGGTCTAACACCACTATAAAATAAATAGGCATTAGCGCAAGGATTTTCAAATGCCTTTTCATTGTTTTTGCCTTTATTGTTATGAGCTCTCTTGTCAACAAAACACATCAAATGGTCACTTAATTTATTACAATGTCAATTCACTTTTTGGAAAAGAAAGCTTTGAAATGTTCATGTACTTACTACTGCTTCAGTTTCAGTCAGCTGGTGTCTGTCGTCTTGAAACAATTCAACTTGGGCCTGGACTTCTACAGCTGCTACCCTGCAAAAGTAAAGAGCAAACAAAAATAATTTAACAAACATTTTATTATTTTCTTGCAACCGTTCAATCACAGTGAACACCATTGCAAAGTTAAAACAGAACAAATCTGCTTGCAATAAATGAAAAACATTGGGGACTCAAAAACAAATTAATATTATTTTGCATAAAAACACATACAGTACACGGCAATTCAAATATTGAAATGGCAAAATTCCCCTTTTTACAGAAATAAATGTATAAGATTTACTAGAAGGTGACAACTCTCAGGCAGGCTTAGAATATCAAAAGAATAACAAGTAGAGCTGTAATTACAATTAGAAAAGACACAGTTTGATGGAAAATGTCACAAATATTAAACTACGACCAGATCAAGGAAGTCTAGAGGCTGCAGATGTGTTTTCACTTTCAACCTGTACAAGGAGAGGATAGGGACCTCTCTAACAGTAACAGGCAGGAGATCCAGAGAGAGGTCTGAATAAGATAGAGTTGAAGGGGCATCCCTCAGGCAAGTTCTCTTATCCAGAGGAGTTACAAGTAGATCTCGACTGGAGGACAGCTGTTGTGTAGGAACACAAGAGGACCACAGATCAGAGAGATGGCTGGGACAGATGACATGCAATACTGTGTGCATTAGATGGAGTACTTTTTAATTATATGAAAGATAGGAAGCCAAAGAAAACAAAACTAGGTGCATATTCATGGACGAGATACTTGGGGAAAAAAATCAATTTTGATATAAATCAATTCAAAATCATCATAAAAATCAAAGCATATGGTCAGTTGCAATAACGGGAAATGGTCTCAAAATAGGGAAGGCGGCAAAGATACATTCCATGGTACTTCCATTATGACTCACTGCATTGTTTAATTTAAACTTTCTCAAAGATAACCAGATAAAACACCACCAAGTGAATCCTTGGTGTCTTAGGAAATGATTCACTCCCTTTCAATCATTAGCCATTTGGTAAATTACAAATGATGCATACACATTTATTTAAAGTGAATCAAAGTTTTATTCCCCAAACTGAACGCTTTTACAGTTGTATCTACAGTGCCATATAGAATTCATCATACATATTCATCATCATAATTCAAAGAATAAATTTCAACTGACACAGAAATGGTTAACTCCAAACTTAATAAATGCTCTCAACTGGCCATCTCAATCTTCCGTCCTCAATCTAATTAAATTTTGTGGAAGGCAGTTCATAAACAGAACCAAAGAGTACAAATGACCTAGAGCAATTCTGCCTGAATGAATGATCAAACGTTCCCCCTCAGAAGTGCCAGAACCTCAAAGCGCAACACAGGAGGTGTCATGTACAAGTAATCCATGCCATAGGAAGTTTTTGCAAAACACTATAACAAACTATAGGGGTCCAAATAAATGTAACCCTTGTATCTTCTGGACTTTATTTATGGCAATATATAGTTGAATTTGTATTCTGTTCAAATGTATTAAGATTAGTGGATGATTTCTTATTTTCCTTTCAGTAGGGCACAATAACCAATCTATCCTCTTTTCTTTTATTTTATTAAATGTTATGCATGTTCTGTTCTTATTACATTCAAGGCATGAATACATCTGTATTGTATCAATTCATTGCAGGTAAAAGGCTTGTGATAACATTAACCAAAATCAAAAGACCATTAAAAATACTAATACTAAATATGAGTGGAAAAGACTAATGGTGTGGTACTTTTCTTTTCCAACATTCTCTTTGAAACTCTTTGAATAACATTCCTCATTATACTCCAATAACTGTTAATCAGCCTAGAATACCCAAGTAGCATAGAGTGATGAAGACAACAGGCATTCATCCTACCATCTGCAATCAAGACTTCTACCTCTTTTTTATATTGGGACATACCTGTATCTTGTCCTATTTTTTTTTAAACTCTAGAACAAAAGAAGAACTTGGATTTGAATCTTGCAAGCACCCTCAGTGTTAATAGTTTGCAATAGTGTTTCCTTAAAACAAAATTGCAGTTTGTATCAAAACCCATCAGATCCCCATTCATATAATCCCAATTCTTCTTTGATGGTCCGGTCTAGTCCAGTTGTGGACTGAAACCTGAGGAATCTTACAATCAAATAGACATAAACTGATATCAGAATCATAGCTCTAACTACACTACAGAATGAGTGTCATTATTGACTGAGCCACTAGAAACCCCTACTGTATATGTTTATTTTCATGCCATACTACCACACCACAAACAACAGAGTTGAGGCATTGGACAGTGGATTGTAAGAGGCTTTCAGGTGCCTGGGAAGCAACAGCAGTTCTGTTGTACATCATACTGAGAAAATTCTGGTTGACTTTTTTATGTTTAGCACCATTCTTTGGAAACTTCAATGTGGTCGACTTACAATATAGCCCACATATGAGCCAGCAACCTCATAACAAATGGTTTAAACTTTGACAGACTTATTAGGTTTGTATATCTCATGTGATGCAAGGTCTCTGAATGTAATAGTTGTGTTATTATTGTGTGGTAGTATCGTTGCCTGATCATAATATCTAAGCATGAAAAAAACTTTGCATAAAAGTGATAAAAATCAGAACTATAGATTTTATTTTATTATATATTATAGAAAACTCCAGCTCTATAAAGCAAAACTATATCACTCCTATTATCAACCAAGGATCTGTGTAAAAACAGGAAATGAACCACTAGGGTTCCCATCATGTCTGCTGTCAACAACTCACACAATAATTACATTTGATTCTTTTATTTCACTAGCTATTCATTTCATTAAAAAACTACAGAATGTTGTACTTTGTTTACAGATGTAATCAAGAAATTATCTTCAGGGTTTATTCCAAGTAGGCTCCATAATGTTAATAGTGGAATTTGGTATTAAATACATTGAGTGTCCTACTTTGATCTTTGGTGCAATTGCTTTGATGCAGAAAATAACACCAATACTAATATACAAACTGCAGTGCAGAATGGTGTTGAGGGTTGTGGACTCCAGACGAGAGGTTTTTGCATTTGGGTTTCCCCAAATGTGCAATTGTATCCGTGCTCAAGGTACTTTATTCTGGCTGATAATGAATGTTCTACTGTATAACTAGATCTCCCGGTCACCGGTAAATGTGATTTTGCTCGCAATTGACTTAGCTAGTTGTGAATATGAAGAAGACGATAGTGATAGTTGATCAGTTGAAAAAGCACAAAAACACAAAAGGAGTGTTGAACCCTCAAAAGATGCAAAACTTCACGTCTCCATGTTTTATCTTCAGAAAGCACAAAAGGATTCATGGAAGACAAACAGTGCATAACACAATGATTCAAATACAAAAATAAAGGTGACATTAGACGAGGGAATATCCTAGTTGTAAATGCATTAAAAAACACCTGATAACCTACAGTATCTTCTGCTTCTCAACAAACAGAATAACTACAAACATCATTGTTAAGACCACTTTTTCTTTGACTTTGATGAATATTTGAATACTTTTGTGAGCATGCACTTGTGTTTTTTATCCTGTTATCCTATCCAACCTAAGCAAGCTTCCAGAAAATCTGGCTGTTTTTATTCAGCTTTATCTGTTCTGAACAGTATCAAAAGGTAATAAATATTTAAATTGAGTGCAAGCATGTTTTTTTGTGAAGATTACAGTCTTAGCAAAATAGACTATTGACTTGCCAGAAGTCAGCAGAAGCAATAAAATGGTTTGAAATGCCAAAGGAAGTGTTAATGACCTTTCCAGCTAGAAATAGCAGTATTCAATGGGCTTTTGAATGTGGAATGTTTTTAGATTTCAAAGCACTTACATATTTCCTTATATTTATAAACATATTTTACTTTATTTCAATTAATCTCTATTACCAAGATACAGTACTAAGAGAAATAGAATGTATCAGATATATGCATTGCAATGAAAATATTTCTCCACCATTACCTCCTTATAAAATTTAGTGTTCAGAATTGTGTTTTGAAGTAAAAATAAAATAAAAAAAGTCAGACAATCTTCACATTTCTCCACATAAAACAAAATTGATTGACTTGATATGTGGATGAAAGAATTACACCAATGAAAAATATATACAGTATAATATATACAGTATAATTCTCAATCCTCAACTTAAACAAAAGCCAAAATTCGGAGCTGCATTTCTTTTGAAACCCTGAATGAATTATTAAAATGCACCAGCTGCACTTGAAATGCACCAGCTGTACATATGCTTGATTTGTGAGAGTCTAAGAGACAGACAAAATGAAAGTAAACTAAAATTACAATGCTCCTGATACCAGACATCCAATCAAGACATTGCATGAGTTTACTTCCAGGAAAGTGAGTGTTGTGCCTTCGGAAATGAAAGCTTCCCACACAACTATTTATTTTTTATTTCTTTACCTGTCAGTGATATGATGACCTGAAGAAAAGTATATTAAAGTCTTGTGCCAGGGTTCAGTAATGGCTGGAGCAATCAAAAAGATATAAACTGAATCAGAAACATGTCAGCTGATATTCACTGTATCCACAGTGACCAGGCAACTAACAGCAACCTATTCAATCTATCACTCTTAAGAGATGTATGTTGTTACATTCCATAGGGGTATTAAAGATATAATGATTATAAAAGATTAAAGTTATCAAGGGTATATTGCTTAGTGTACAGTTGCCAAACAGTCTGCTCACAATTAATTTCAATTACAGGTCAGTTTTTAGACAAGCTTATACACATGAAAAGAAAGGAATAGCACAGTTGGTTACATACACTAAATACTTATTTAGTGTATGATCTTTGATTGTGAGGTACATATTACAAAAGACCAGTATGAAATACCGCATAATAATTCAAATCAATCATGTTGGAGATGAACTTAGTATATCAGTTTTCCTTTGATAGGATTCCCAAACCTTAACAGACCTTGGTAAAAGTAAGAAATCTAAAGCTGACCTTCACTTTTGCCTATCACTAATTTAAATCTATGAACAAGGCGAGTACTGCCAAATGACATGCTCAGGTCACTTTATCACCAA